TTAACCGCTTACAAAATCTCATGATCAGGTCTTTTATCCTCTTCCTCTGTTCCGCCGATTTCTTGAATGTCTTACCCAACGCTTGCATCTGTTGATCTTTATTACTCCCATTCTCTGATATTTCACCGATATGACTCATATTCTTAACTTCCATAATAACAAAGTAGTTTGGTGCTATCACAATGAAATCACACTCGCCTTCGCGATTGGTAGCTGTCTTTTTACATATAATGCACTTTCGCCGATCATGATTAGAATCTCCCAAGTGGTATTGGAAATGCGTATATTCAAAACTATGAAGAACAATATAATTTCCATCCAGTTTCTCCAAAACCCTGTATACTGTTACCTCAGCCTCGTAGTTGAGTTGTTGGTTTCTGTCATTCTCGAAACTACACCCTGGTTTATCCTCATTTGGGTCTATGACGTCTATGTAAGTTTGCTGAGGAGCTCTGGGTAACATGATGGGACGTTTGTCTCCAGTTGAACAGTAGGTTTCAAATATCTCCTTTCCATTCCGGAGATATTCCTGGTATTTTGTGTCCTTCTGTGCCATACCATAATATCATTCACGCTGCAACGATAGCTTAGAATGTAGTCAATAACTATTAACTACACAGGTTAATAGTAATGAAAGTGAAATGATGGTGTCTGGACTTGAGACCAGCTTGCAGTACATGAGTACATTACATCAATGCTCTCTGGTTACCATCAGGCTAGCTAAATAAATGAATATGTTAGGTAAAACGAACCGAGAAATAAATTAAAATAAAATTATAAATCGTACTGTGCTAACATAAAGAATCACGTGTCATGCTAGAACACATGGTTCATATCTAAATTTTCTCCAAATTTTCCCCAAATAATATTACAATTTAAAAAAAATAGGAATTAGAAATTAGTCCAAATCTTACCTCGATGAGGTACTATGAAACTATCTACAATCTACAAACTGTACTAGTTACGAGGTTGGAAAGAAATCATCAGAAATAACTCGGAAAGACAAACTTTACTTCCAACTCAATCACAAATTAGCAAAAATCAGTGGTCAATCAGCTGCAATGATTTCGAATTGCTCAATGTAAATAACAGCAAAGAAAAGCTCCGACAACTACATACGTAGCCTCACAGTGTAAGGCTATAGTCACTAGTCACATATTGTGGGCACATTATCTCGGACGGTAATAGAGTTTGGATAATTCTGTGTAAGAGTAATATCTATTTAAAGAGACAGCAAAGGAAGAAGTTTCTAAGCGCTATAAATCTATTATATAAAGAATGTTGTAGAGCTTGGATTCTCAACTTTAAGGGCCCATAGATAAAATACTGTCAAGGTCCTTTAAAGGTTTTGTTAGAGTGGTGGAACACCTCGCTATTCATTTCCATTACGAGGGTATAATAGCCAAGCACAAAATGTTAAAAACTGATTCATCCTCAATCATAAGCTACATTCACTTGGAAATTAAGCACACATTGCGGACGTGTAGATAATAGATATAACTATACGTTTGTTAGAAGACTAATTTGATTTTTCAATCGGTCTGTGAGCCAGGTTCTTCACGTGCAGTCTTGGTATATAACACACATAACCCCGGCATGCGCAGGGATTATATTTCAATTTTTCCCGCGACGCGCGGGAAAAGTTTATAATAATTTCGAGTGCGAAGCACGAGGGATTATTATGAAAATAACCCCGACGTGCTTTAGCACGAGGGGTTATTTTAATATAACTTAAGCGTGCCGGTGTTATGTGTTATAAACCCCTCCGGGTTAGTGCTAGGACCAACAAATTTGACATTTTACTCTTAAATATAGCTATATGAGATCATTATGGAAAATATGAAATGGAATTGGGGACTACCAAATAAATACAACTAAGGTACTATGACTTTTGAAATTGGCGTTATATCTAAACATTATTCCTCAGTCAGAACGTTGAATGAATATGAATATCGATAAGGGGCGTCGAGTTAAGCCTGGCAAGCGATAAAAGCTAATAATGATATCGTGTCATGAAGTTTATCAAAGTAGACGACTATAATACATGGCTTATATCAAACACGACAAAATTAACCGAACCGGACAAAATCAAATGTAACCGTCGAGACAAGTTTTGGAACTGGTCCAATTAATGTAAGAGTTTAAGTAATGTAAGCAGTGTGCTGGAGTTTTGCCAGCGCCTGCAATTAGACCGATACGTAGATCGAGTGTATTTATAGTTCTTACGTTAAGCCATAGGTCACGTGACATTTTTTACCAATGCGCGTCGTAGTAGTTAGTCACGTGATACACGTCATCAAAACACGTGACAGTACACGGTTGAAATTCTCATGGAATGTCAAAACAAAACAAATCTTGTTGAGCCAAATTAGCGGGGCGGGATTATAAAAGCTGTGCCGGGGTTATTTATTCAGCGGGAAAAAACTAACAGCGGGAGCCGGGATTATCAGAATCTATTTAGCGGGAGCCGGGATTATCAGAATCTTATTCTATCCCGGAGGGGTTTATAATATGATGTATTATATTATGACATGTAAAGAAAATTAGCACGTGTTATTTGAGAGCTTCTGAGACAAACAATCTACCGTATCATTAATAACATGTTTCAAGAACCAACCTTCAGTTTTATATGACATGTTTACATAAGATAAATGTAGTCAGAAGTCAGTAGGTAGTGGAGATTCGTTATATCCTACAAAGCACGTTTCATACTCACAGTGAACTAACATAATAAGATTACATAACTCGCATTGCCAGTTAAAAGGGTAATGTAATTCTTATCATTAACAGGGGTAACACGTTACACTGGTCCTTTTCACAGTTCAGTCATTCAGTGTAAAGAATACACTACGATTCTTCAAGTAGGACCACAGAGTATAGCGTGCAGTGTAATTTATATGTCTCCAGCCTTTATAAGACCACAAGATACACAAATAGCCGTTCACTGAGTGTACACTGTACTGTTTGACTCCTGGAGTAGGATCATAGCCTCGACCTGCACTGTATATTATAACACACGACTCTATTATAATGGGTCCACAATCCAGGTAGTCATACATATTTAAAATATCAGGTAAATCTCCCTCCCCCTACATGCAACATTACTCTCTCTTCTTACTGATGTATGCTGATGAGTTGGCTCTGTTTACCTTGCTCTACAGTATGTACGTAACATTGCTCCTTACATACTGCATAATAAACTTAATAAACATGATGAACATTATAAACATGATGGACATGATTGACATGATAAGTTACAGTAATTACGTTTATCGTATGTTGTATTTAAGGAAAACACACAATATAAGGCGGATTATTATATTATTTTTAGTAAGTTACAGTAAGCTAGATTTATAATATCTTTCAGTAAGTTACAGTACGTTACGGCACGGTAGAGTAACTAACCTGCGGCTAAATCAGGAGGTTGTTTATTATTTAATTAAATCAGATGACTTGCTGTGATAACTAGTCTATGATTGGACAATACAGTCGCCTTTAAACTGAGATCCCACGGGCCAACAACTGTCTCGTGTACTACAGTGTTACAAACTCAAGGGAAAGAGCAGCAACTTAATTACAGAACTTGATATTTTACATAAATTAGCGACTCTTTATATTCAATACTTTACATTCGACGAGCACTAAAATTAGCGACTCTTTATACATACCAAATTTGACATGACTAGCACTAAAACAATTCAATTTGTATTGTCAAGAAAGTGTCACCGTGTTGTTACCTGTCCTGTTAACACCCTTACAATTAATAAGACGAGCTGTTTATCAAAAAGTAAAATAAAGAGTAAAGATGTTGATATCCGTGATGAGCTCTAAAATGTTAAAACAAGTGATATCTCCAAGTTCCAGAGAGAAAATCATGGATATATTTGTTTTGTTCAGGTAGCAAGCTTGCCACGTAGGTCCAGTATTGCCGAATGTTTTAAAGATGCTAGGTTGTGGGAAATATTATGAGTATTTACATATCGGCCGCATTTACTGTACAAGAGATAACATAATTTCCTACCAAAAATTTCATCATATATAAGGTGATGATTCCGAAGTGAACCAATGATAAGCCACCGGAACATATAAATTTGACAGCTGTCATATTATGCGTATACTAGGTTTAACGGTGATAAGACACCAAGACATGGGAATTAGGTTCATTATATCGGGAGAAGGAGGGGGTACAAGAGTAGGCTTGTGTAAGATGCTGGTTATTTGATACTGGTTAGAGTTGACACATTATTAGACCACCCCGTATAACACTACAATTATCAGTTTATCGTCCGGGTGGGAGAGAGTTGTTACCAAGGGGAGAGAAGGTTGTTACCAAGAGGAGAAAGGTTGTTACCAAGGGGAGAGAGTTGTTACCAAGGGGAGAGAGTTGTTACCAAGGGGTTGTTAAGGGGTTGTTAGGTGTTGTTACCAAGGGGTATAGGCTGTCGGAGTTCGAAACAAGATAATAAATTAAATCATTTGTTAAACTTTGAGCGGCACGGAATATGACTTACATACAGTTATACAGTGTGCTGGATATGATGTCATGAGAAACGGAAGATAATCCCGTCTGAGTTTTCTGATGATGTTGGTGGTGAGTGATGTTACATGTAATTATGATATTGATAGAACTTACCTGTAGTCAGGAAATGTGATCTGCTCCTTGACACCGTGATTATACATATATAGAGTTGACAACTGAATGATCACCAGGGTAACGTGTTGATCACCGGGGTGACGTGTTGATAACCTTGCATTTAGCAGGGATATTAATCTGGACTAGGTTCTAGTGTTAAAAGTTATTAAAATGTGTAATTATCAGCGGCCAGGCAAATTATGTAGAGATGTTTTGAAAATCTTCATTTTAGCAGCCAAACGTTAGTTGTCATTCGATAAATTTGGATGAGAATATTTTATTTTTATTTTGAGAATATTTCTTATTTTCACTGTCATACTTGATATCATGACGGCTCAATCTGGAACGTATTCAGTCAAACGAAAGGTTTTAATAAACAGTTAAATAAGTTAAACTTAAATACCAACAAACGAAGTAAAAACGTCAAAAAACCTACTACAGAGTTAATAAATTAGAAATCTAAGTTTTAACAGCGAATAAAAGTCAAACGTTTTCACTGTTAAAAGTTAAAACTGTCGTCAAAGATATAAATTAATTTGACCAATCTTGAAAAAAAAACCCACACTTCAAATAAAAATTATCATCTTCAGGATTCATTACACGGCTTGAACAGGTACTGAAGCAGTTATAACAGTCTCCTGATGAGGTTCACTAGATAATGTTAGCTTAGTCTCCTTGCTAGTCTCAGTTTTCTTCTTTTTCTTCTTTTTATTCTTCGCTCCCTCTTCGACTTTCTTCTTCTTGCATGACAGTGGGTTTGGTCCTTTCGGACGCTTTCTCTTTCTGTTCACTGTTTTTTCTTCCGGGTCGATACCCGTCAGTTTCTTCAGAGTTTCCTGTTAACAACAATTAGCAATGTGCGGATCAGAAGCTGTTTAGGAAGTTTTCTTGTTGAGAATTTGAAAAACAAGAAAAAGCAATATAATACGTAATAACTTAGTACACTTAAGACTTTCCAGTTCCAGAAATATGCACATAATACCTAATAACTTACTACGCAACAAGCGTGTGATAATTTTTAAACAGCCGCTAAATGCTACGAAAGTATACGTTTCAGCTTTAAGGGTGAAAGCTGCAAATGTGTCGGAAACAAAACGTACGAGACGAAAAGTGATGATGTTTTTACAGAAGCGTCTGTATGTAAGTGGGTAAGCCTGTTTTAAAAAGGAAGAAGTGGTGAAACAGAAAGTGAAACAAAAATAAAGTTGTGCATCTTTTCGTAGTCCTGTTTGTCTAAAGTAAAAGTGAAAGTGAAACAGAAAGCGAAACAAGAACCAAGAAAGTCGCACCTTCTCGTAGTCAGTGAGTAGGTCCTGTTTGAGGAAACTCTCCTCGCAATGTCACGTGACTCATATGAGGGAGACTCAAGGAACAGGGTGCAGGCTGAGAGGTACAGTAACGGGATTCCTGAAATAACATGGGTTATTTACAACGGAATTCCTGAATAGCAGAAGGTTCTCAGTGAGGAATAGCATGTTTCTGTAACATGAACTTAAGTTAAGAGATTCGACAATAACAATCTCACCAGTAATAGCTCGGAGCTGTTTCCTAAGTTCTGTATCCTGAGTAGCTATTATATAAACTCACCAGTAATAGCTCGGAGCTGTTTCCTAAGTTCTGTATCCTGAGTAGCTATTATGTAGTGCTCCACATTCCCTCCTCCCACCATGGCAGACATACATGAGGCTGCATCCAGTGCTGCGTTCTCGTGACCACACTTGTGCCGCTTAAACTTCTTCAGGATCTTGTGTGCTCCTGAGAATAAGGAGATTTAGTGATCTTGTGTGCTCCTGAGAATAAGGAGATTTAGTGATCTTGTGTGCTCCTGAGAATAAGGAGATTTAATGATCTTGTGTGCTCCTGATAATAAGGAGATTTAGTGATCTTGTGTGCTCTTGCAAATAAGGAGACAAGATATTTAGTGTTAAAATAAGTTTGAGATGAGGGATGTGTTCTAGGTTTTTACATCACTATTTACCAGAAAGTTCTCCTCGCGTACGGTTACAGAGCAACTGTACATTTAGACTGGGTAGTAAGTACTGGAGATGCCAGAAATAATGTCTGTTAACATAATATTAACTCTTATGCGCATAAATTATCATGACATACATTCAACCCACTATATAACGTAAATTGTAGAAGCATACGTTAGGTTTCCCAGCATTGCAAACCATCACATCAGTTACCATACGCTGACATTAAGTTAAAATAAAGTAAAAGTCGTATATTCCCCATATTTTATCTAAGTATGTACTTCATGATGTTATGTAGTTACTGATGGTACATCGGTAGATATTACTCAACTAGCGATGAGTGTATTCAGAGAAAAAACTGAATTTTGAGATAAAGAGTTTTGGTTATAAATAAATGTTATCAAAAATCGCAATTAAGTATTCATATGTTCATGAAAATGATCCCACCTTGAAAAGTTTAGCAAATTTTGATAGATATTGACAAATGCTGTTAAATTTTGATCTCGATAAAAAAGCTTTTGAACGATTGAATTTGAAAGATATTGACAAATGTTGATAAAATTGATAATGTTGATAAAATTGATAATGTTAATAAGGTTGATAAATGTTGATAATGTTAATGACGTAATGAATAACGTCAGTGCCACTACAGCACTACTATACCTGACAGAGTAGGTCCAAGCTGAAAGCACTCTCTAAGCACACAGTGGGTAGTAGCCACATTAATCTCACCTCCCAGGTACTTGCCCACTTGCAGGAGAATGTCTACCTTGCCTTTCAGCGCCGCCTGGCAGAATGTACCTGGGAATACGGAGAGGGTTTATAAGTTTTAAGCCAGACGTTGGCTTTTCAATAAAAATAAATCTGGAACTATAATTGTCAGACTACCATGAAGGTTCATGTTTCCCCTAAAAATGTCTGAAGTAAATCAGGGTTTTACGGGGTTTCACTGCACATGGCGTGGGGGACGGTTTACATTCGGTTATTTCGAGTGGAAGTGTTCCAATAATGATAATTATAAGAACAAAATGGTTGAACGAAAACCACTTTCTTTCTCTAGCGAAGGTAAACTATAACCGGGTGTACTGTTAGGATTCTTAAATAATCTATTTATAACTGAAACCTTCTTTACGTAATCTATACTCATCAAACATGTCAGGATATCCCGACATCACGACCTCTTATCTGGGCTGTCACTTCCTTTATTACGTTTTGTTGCACGAAAATAAGGGAGATTCACATGAGCTGTACCTGTTAAACTCCTTATTTTTAACCAGAATAGTGAACACACGTACACCTTAAATACACTCTACTTTAGCAGGCAAATTAAGAGGCAAAAGAGGCAAATCTATTCAGCTGACTGAAAAACGCACAAAATACTCGAAATAATTACCAGACAACTTAGTTGTAATTAATGACTAATTACAGTAATTAGAGGTCTAGAGGTCTTACCGTCTACAAGCACGTTGTAGGGTTTTCTAAAGGAGAAGTTCTTCTCGTAGAAAGACAGAACTCGCTTAGAGTGCTTCAAACGCTTAACTTTCATCCTAATGAGAGATTGTAGCTTTATTATTAATCGGATCAGAGCGCTGTTTTTATTAGAATATTATTATCTTGAAGTAATAAAAAACATAACATGGTAGTGATTATAGGAGTTTATAGAAGTAGGTACAGTTAATTTGAGTAAACATCTCCTGTAAAGTAGGGGACCATGGTGACGAGACCGTGTCACCATGGTGACATGACCGTGTCATAAACAGCTGTTAAAAAGGTCAGGTGTGATAAGTTGTAGTGATTCATTTCAACATATCCTTTTTGGCCGGGGTTGACCAGTGTTGAGTGTAGTGGTCTGACCATATCCCTTGTTTTAAGTCAGTATGAAAAGCTGTTTTTAGGCCCTCTTCTTTTCAATGATTATAACATATTGGGAATGGGAATATACGTATGTGGAGTGAATTTGGAGTTTTGCCAACACGGAGATAATATAGAGTTGTTGTGCAGCTGTTTCAGTGTCATATTACAATACAAGAAAACACAGAGTTTCATAATACGATATAAGGTAGCGTAAACTTGCAGAGTAACGTTGCCAGATATCATAGTCAGCAATCAAGTATAGCCAGTCATAGGTGTAATATTTGCTATTAGTTAATTAATCTACTATTAGGTAATTAATGTATTATTAGCATGTTAAGTAATCATAAAACGGTGGTCTTGAAAAGTGGTTACAAAATTGTCCTCACTGTGTCAATCATGAAATACGTAGCGTTATTCAGGAATATATAGAAATTATAAAAATCCTATCTCATTGCTTGCTACCGATACAAATCAAATAAACATTGCAATAACAAGGGTTTTTCGTAAAATGTTTGCTAAACTTAATTTTGAGTAAGTATTTGACTGCCAACGATGGAGCCCTAGCCAGGTATAAATATAAAAACTTGATAAATTTTGAAAATCTTTAGTAACAGGTCGTTTGGAAGTTCTTGAAAAGTTCTTGAATTTACAATGAAATTTCAAATAAATTTTTGATTTTTCTTGCCCGTAATAAAATTGACATTTTGAAAGGTATTCAGTGACTGTTTCGGCAGATTATTCGTGCCTCAGTGCCTGTCGGACACCAAAAAATGTATCGTGTTCAAAATATTCATTACCCAAAATTAAGTTCAGCAAACAATTTTAGTAAACCTTTCCGTTTTCCAGAACATATAAAACTTCACCAACAACTAAATTGCGCATGCAATTACCATCAGTTTGTACTGAAAATTCAAGAATTCCCAGAATAATTTACAAAACGTAAATTACGTCTCTTTTAACACGCATATATTCTGTCAATAAATTCCACCTATCTCACACAGTGTGTATTGATTTCCGTACCCTCAATGTACTACACTCTCTATTATATTATATATGACCCGAACTTGAAGCTTTATTTGGTTGTAATCGTCAGACGTTGCAGTAAAATATTGTTCTTGAAAAAAAAAATACTAAGCAGCCTAAGTTTGGGTCAACGAAAATAAAAATCAAATAAAAATTTTCATTTATAGCTGTATAAAAATCTGTAATTTCAACACACACATCACAATATATGCATTATAAATGGGCTAGTTAAAATGTCTTAATCACATGTAATTACAAAGACAACATCACACTAAAAATACGACAATTAGAATTGTTTTTTGTCACTGAAAGGATAAGGATTTTCAAAGCCTTGACGGACAAAATTCACAAAATAAACTATTCAATACTTTCTGCATATTTTACTGAACTAAAGATGTTTTCTTTTATCAGAAAAAGTTGTGAATTTGATCTGGAATTTGTGTTAAAAAATTAAAGCGATGCCAGCTAAAAGTTGAAATAAAAAGTATTATATCCCCAGAACACATTAAAAGTATCAAGAACACAGCATAATATTATGGCGTGAAGCTCACTTTGCTGCGGCTCACAGCGCAGTCTGCGCCTTGCGAGTGTGCGCAAAATCAGAGTAACTAGGTAAGGGTAGTTGTGCTGGCACTTTGCCATTGTTACCAGATGGACCGTAGCCAGCAGGGTTAGCCGGAGAAGGGTATCCGTACCCACCCTGAGATCTGCCACTCACAGAGTTCATAGAACCAGCCCTGTACCGGTCTAGTTCAGACATGGAGGACATTGATACCATGCGCGATCTGCGCTTCTCGCTGATGACCGCTGCGCGCAGCACTGCCTGAATGTCATTGTGGTCTCCCTTTGCAGTTTCGTTGTTGTAGCCCGTATCGTCCACCATCTCATCTGTTATCTCTATCCCTATCTGTGAGAGGGATAAAGTTTAACATATTATTATTGTTAGCAATTAATTCTGAATAATCAAGGAAATTAACAGGATTTTCCATCTGCCATAACAGCTAATATTTGCCCTGAAAACGAATGAATAGTTGGTTGGGGTCTAGTTGGGGTCTAGTTAGGGTCTAGTTAGGGTCTAGTTCTTACATCACAGTCGAGAAGGTTGGGAGAAGGTGTTTCGCCGGCCAGCATTCTTTCGTAATCACCATGACCTCTTTCATCTTCTTCCTCAATCTCTCGTATGTGTCTACCACTGAAGATTATTAAATATTATATATATAATAGATACATTTTAGTACTTACAACACGCTTCAAAAATAAAAACATGCCCTAAAAAGATCTATTCAAGCACGTGACTTAGTATAGAAAAACACCACTATGTACCTAATATTATTATATGCATACTCAATTTGAGTTGCTACAAAAATACGATTTGAAGTAGTATTTAAAATTAATATAGATTTGTACAGCTATATTTCGATGTCAATACAAGAAATGAGAATAATAACTCTACCTGATAGCTTTGAGAAGTTCAGGCCCAGAGTTTTTACACCAGAACAGTGCAGCTATTACACCTGCCAGCACTAGGATGGTAATGAGGATACCCATTATCATTCCCATACTGGACGAAGGGGTCTCTTCAGCTGCAAAATAACTTTAGTTAGCGGGCAAACATACCAAACCATTCAAAGTGCTTGAAGCATCTGGGGCATCAAACATGTCTGACATTGTACAGGAATGTAAAGTAAAACTCACCACACTGTTCGTTGTTACAAGCACAGTAGCTAATGTCCAGGGAGCCCACGGGGGATTCCAACCAGTCGAAACATCTCTCGCATCCTGCTCCAATCATCTCATTCTCCGCATTCAGTCGCATCACCCAGAAGGTGTTAATTGGGCATTTCTGACAGATTGAGCGGCCACTGGCCGTCGTGTTGAGGAATTCACCTTGGTGGCACTGAACTGGAAACGATAAATTTGTGAAATTTGAAACATACGTTTTAAACGACTCAGCAACCTTCAAAGTTAATGTTAGTGAACAGCGCAACTGTTGCATGTAACGATGAAGAAGATGGATATTGTTCAATGAAAATATGATAAATATTAGGAGATCATAATTTCTTAATATAACCTTACTGCGAGAGATTAGATTGTGCAAAATTGACGTAGTAGTCTTTAAACAGAAAGAATCAGCAGAGATATAATTACTTTAAAATATGATAATATCAAGAAGAAAAAAGTCGTTAAGGGATAAAGAATTTAACTCACATTCGTATGTAGCCTCAGATAGCAATAACAGAGCTCCAGTTAAGGATACCCACAGTAGTATCTTACTTAACATTGCACCTTACCTAGAGGAAATACAGGTGATTTAAGGTGAGTTACATAACTACAACCAATACTAAAATTTGGCTGTAGAGGACAGAATTTTGTACTTCTTTTCAAGTTATCGTGGATGATACATTTTGAAGATGATTATGAGCAAGACACAAATAACTTACAAAAAAGCATATTGTTGATGTAATTGTTATTTATCAAGATATAAAAATATATTTAATATAATTTTGAACAGCATTACAAAAGGAAAAACTAAAACTTCCATATTTCTGAATGTATGAAGGTTGATTATAGAGGGTTCTTAATCAAAATTGTCTACCATGCATAAATTATTATTTATATCATATTACTATCATATACTCCATATATTAACTCATGCTAAGCTTTTCGAGATAGCATTAACAAATTTAGAAACAACATGGTCTATATGACCTATTCAACCACATGGATTTCATATTTGATACAAGAAAACATTTCAGGAATATTCAATAAGACATTAATTTTTAGAGCAGAAAAATTGACTTTTGTTCTTCAAGTTTACATTTAACTCACAACTTAACATTATTATCAACAATAGAACATACCAAGAACTGAAGAGGATATACTTGACTTAAATTTTGACATTTACACAAAATCAATCTGAAATCACAGCATATCACTTATAAACTAAAACTGTACTGTAGTAAAATCTGCTAAAAATAAGTTAAAATACCTATCATTTCATTTACATATTATCATGATAGGGTACCATGTGGAATACATTATTATATAGATTTATCAAAATCATAATATTATGATATTAATAAGTTATAAAAGCTCAAAAAGAACGAAGATAATGCTACAGTTGACTAACTCTAGCATTTCCCAGATTTCTGGTCGTAACTGGTGAGAGGAGGGGGTTAAACTTTGGCTTTGGGGGAATTGGAGGACTTTTTAAACCGATAGAGTTAGTTACTTCTGGTCGTGGACTCTTAGGTGACAGTACTTCTGGCTCTATGTCTGTTATCATGGTTGGTTTAGCAATATCAAGATTTGGAACTGATTTTTTGCGCCTCTTTTGTGCTTTTGGAGCACCATCCCCTTTTCCTTTTGCCTTCTTGGACTTTTTAGGTGTTTTGGGTTTTTCAGCAGTTACACCAAGATCATCAAATGTTTTGATGTTTCCCTCATTTGCACGTCGACTTTTCCTTGGAGTTTTAGGTGAAACAACTTCTTCTGGGATGAAGAACAAATTCTCTTGTGTCAATTCTTGCTCATTAGGGGGAACATTTTCGAGTGATTTTTGAGCAGGTTTTCTAGGCTTTTTAACAGATACTGGTATTGTGACATCACTTTTGAATTCCTGTTCCTGATTTTCTGACAAAGTAGGTGTACTATGATGATTTTTTGCAGACA